CCCCCCCCCCCCCACCTCAGGTCCTAGCCAGAGCAGCTGGGGAGGGCGGGGACCCCGGAGGCAACTGGCGGGCGGGCCTCAACACGAGTAGACCCACCCGGCCACAGCGCGCCTCCACAGGGCCCCATCTCCTGCTCTCTCTGTGGCCCTCAGCCGCCAAGTACCATTAGTCTCGGGCCCATGGCCCGTCCCTCTCCCAGCAGGGCCGGCCTGGGGCTGGCCCAAAGCCCCATCTCCGCAGCTTCCCCGGGGCCAGTCCCTCCCCGCTCCTGGGGAACACTGCTCTGAACACCAACATAGTTCATACATAATATCACTTGCTCCCTGCCAAGGCCGGGCCCCCTTCTCACCACGTGTTGTTCAGACTAGCGAGACTCCTGGTTTGAATTCAGTGTTACACAAAGCAAGTCTCGGCCTTGCCAGGCCTGTCACTAAGCCCCAGTTTCTCCCACAGCTTTGTGCTCTTTGCAGCCCCTGGACTCGGCCCAGCATCCGCTGCCTCAAGAGGAGCGAGCCACTCTACGTCTTCTTGAAGGATCTGTGCTTTTGTAACCAGGACTGACCACCCAAAACCCGACCCAAAGCTGCTCGATTTGAGGGGGTGATGATGACAACAGGGGCAGGGGTCTGTGCATAACTAACAGGACTCTAAAGCAGCAACAAGGAGGGAAAGCAGAGAAAGCCAAGCCCTACACCCCAGAAATGAGCGCTCCAAGGGGAACGCTGCCCCCACGCTCCCTAACCACACTGCCCAGCCCTCCCAGGAGCCGCTGAGCCTAAAGACAGCCTCGACAGAGCGTGGGAAAGACGCCTATCCAAACCCCCCAGAACTGAGGCCAGCCACAGCCAGGCCCTCCCCGCGGGACAAGGGCAGGCCGTCACTGGGAGCTGGGGCTGTCGCCTTCTGTCAGCGTCTTGAAGTCCATGGAGAGAGCTTGTTCTTCCGCCTGGGGTGGCCGCTTCCAGTCAGGGCGAGTCAAGATGTAGAGCACAGTCCCCCCGAAGCCGACCAGCAGCAAGCCCAGCACGTTGGCCAGGACACCCTCGGCCTCAAATGTGCTGTACCTGGCCCTGCAGGGTTGCGGGGGGGGGGGGGGGGACCACCCACGGGGTCACCGTCAAATGCCATTCGCACCCAGGCCACACAGATGGCCTGGTGCTCCAACCCCAGCCCCATCCGTCTCCCTCCCGGAGAGGAAAACCACTGCTTCGCTAACCACCAAAAGCGGGAAGGCAGAGGTCCCTGAGGAGCCGAGGGCAGGGCTCGCTCTCTGCCGCCCATGGTGGCCGGGGACACTCACCCGAGCTTAAACAACAGCGCCTCCTTCAGGCCCAGCAGGGCTGTGCCCACAGACAGGAGGAAGATGGCGGCGCCAAAGAAGATGTGCTGTGGGCGGTATCGGCTCCGCAGCGAAAACGCAGCTCCGGGGAACAGGAAGAGGCTAAAGCCCACGAGCCACTGCGAGGAAAGGCGGGGTGCGGCCGGAGACTGAGCTGGCCCTCCGTGCGACCGGCCCGAGGACACCCCAAGCGGGCCGCGTCCACACGCAGTCTGGGACCCCCCCATCCACCCGTCTGGCCTCCTTCACCCTAAGAGCTGCGGGGGCGGGGTGGGGGCAGTAAGCCCTCAGGGGAAAGGTCCTGGCCCCCGCGCCCCAGGCCTGGGCTCAGTTCAGCGGGCTCGCATGCTCGGAGACCGGGGCCTGTGGCCAAACAGATGAGCCGCGTCAGCTGGAAGGGAGCCTGGCTCTGAGGCACCCTGGCCTGGAAAGTCCTGGCTTTTGCACCCATTTCAGAGTCTGAAAGCAGCCCCCAGCCTCCTCCACTTTCAGGCACGTGCCCCAGAAAATGGGCCCTTGTGGGGCGCCCGTGTGGGGCACCCGTGTCCCCCCGCCACCCCCCACGCCATGGGGCCAACGCCTCACCTGCACGAAGTAGAGAACGAACCCGAGGATGCCGCACCAGCTGTGTAGGCTGTACAGGTCTGCGTAGCCCTGCTCCCGGTGGTAGTCGAACACCGCCACCATGCCTGGGCCGGGGGGGGGGGGGGGGGGGGAGGAGCCGCATGAGGACAGGGCTGCCGGGAAGGGGGCCGGGGAGGTGACCCAGGGGAAACCTGACTCGCTGAGACTTCTGGGATCCGGTCCCGACTTGATGGCTGCCAGCACCCAGTGTCCCAGCCGGTGATGCCTGGACGGGGGAGGAGGGGCGGGGAGGAGCCCGGAGCAGAACTGGAGTGGAGACCAGACGTATCCTACAGCTACTTCCCCAAGGGCCGAAGCAGAAGCGGGAAAGGGTGAGCTGTGCCCGGGAACTCACCCACCAGGGCGATGATGAACGCAAAGACGTGTAGCAGCCCGTGCAGGACTTTGGTGGTGCGTCTGGGCTCATTCCTGAAGACCCGGTAAACCAGCAGGGCTTATGGGGAGCAAGAAAGGGAACGTGAGGCCGGCCTGCCACCCGCACCAAGGTGACACCCCGTGGCTGGGGGAGGTGATCTGAAGGAAGGGCTTGTCAAGGTCCCGCAGCCACAGCCAGCGGGAGAGAAAACAAGGCTCTGTGGGGCCCGGCAGGGGCCCTCGGGTATGTGTGCCCTAGCAACGCCCCCATGATTGCTCTCTTGTCAAGTGTCTTGTGTATTCCAGGCTGTGCTGTAGGTTCATCACGCACTCACGCTGAGGTGTCACCAAGCTTGCGTTCACCTCTTAGTTGTGATGATCCTCAAATAGTCCAGTATGGAAGCCTGAGCAGATACTCACTACCTTTGGCAAGCAGGCTCCCTAAACGGGGAACCCGTGGTTCCCAAGCTAACCCCCCGTCACTGGGCTGAGCCAGACAGAGCCAGGTGGCACGGGGAATGCCTCTCAGGAGTGGCTGTCACCAGGACCACCTCTAGGAAGAATGGGCCCAACAGATCCACATCCAGACTTCTTGTTAGCAGAGGAGGCGGCCACGGAAGGCAGGGTGGGGGCCAAGCATGGCCTCACTCCTACCTCAGAGAGGGACTTAAGCTCTGCCAAGTCCAACGTCCCCCCGGCACATGTGCACGCGCGCGCGCGCACACACACACACACACACACTCACCCTCTTTCTCCCACTATGAAACCACCCCACAGAAGCCGGCCTCAGCTCACAGTCCAAACCCTGGGCTGCCTACTCTAAGCAGCACACACCCTTGGATGCTCCTTGTCGAAAGACCAGGACAAGTAGGAAAGGAGTTGCCACCCCCACACCTCAGGTCCCTGGATTTGGATGCCTGGTGTCCCCAGGCTCCAAGCCAGCTTCCTTCCTGTCTTTTCTGGAATCTTAGACATGTCTAATTGCAAGAGACCTCCGGAATGAGAGTATTTCTGCAAACCGCCTCTCTCAGGAGCGGCTCCAGGTGCAAGGGCAGGACTCACCATCTCCCTGCAGGAAGATCAGGCCTATGACCATGCAGAGGGGATGCGCGTTAAACTGCAGGGCGCCCTCCCAGGCGATGCCGCCCCTGTACAGACCGAGCCAAGCCCCCGTCATGGCCACCACAGTCAGGCCCAGCAGCTGGGAGAAAGCCACGTAGTAAGGCAGTGCTCTGGGGGCGGCTGCCAGGCCGGCCCGACTCTCCATGCTGAGGCAGCTGCTGGAGGAAAGACAGAGAGCTCAGAGCAGCCCGCACCTCCCCAGGACACAGCCCTGGGCTCGCGAGGCCAACCCCAAGCCCCCACCCTCTCCGCCCACCACCCCCGGCCCCTGTGCTAAAGCCAGCCACCCCAAGTCTCTAGAGCGGTCGGCAGAGGTGCCCTGCTTCCCCAAGAGACAGGCCGGACCCCTGGAAGAGATGCAAGGAGGGTGCAAGGGAAGGTCCTCCAAATTCTGGTGGGAGCAGGGGGGCCCCGCGCCTGGCTTTACATTGTTTCACGAGGGCCTGGGTTTTCTCAGGGGGGCTTCACAGATGACGTACAGAGAAGTGAGGAAATCCCTTGAAGGAACAGGGTTCCTCACGGTTTGTCCCCAGGTGGGTCCTAAGGACATCCGGTGAGGAGACACCCCCCCCTCGCGCCCCGCACTCAGTGTGCAAGCCTGCAGCCCGAGGTGAAGGGGGGGGTCCTGCCCTCCCCATGGGCCTGGGCGCGGCCCCCACAGCAGGCCCCCTGCTTGTAGAAGGATGTACTCGGACCCCGCCTCGCCCGACACACATGGGGAGCAGGGGCAGCCCAGCAGCCTGCCCCCCTGCTGCCTCCTCTCCCCCCCCCACCCCACGTTTAGGGCAGGCCGGTCTGCACTCCTGCTCACGGGATGTCTCCAAAACTAAAGGCACCAGAAATGAGACCCACAGGGAAGAGCACGTCGCCGTTCGGGGCTCATGGCGTGCTTCATACGGGACACTTAGCTCCCGGCGAGCCTGTGGAGGCCGTAAAGCAGGGAGTTACCACCGACCCGTGCGACCGAGAAGAAAACGGCTGCTGGAGGTCTGGGAAGACTTGCTCAGGGGCTGCGTGCGTGTGCGTGTGCCCGTGTGCGCGTGTGCGTGCATGTGTGTGTGGTGAGCGCATTTCCTGGCTCCTCCGCCCAGGCCGCCCCCATGGTAGCCTCCCTCAGGGTCAGAACGGCTTTCTTGCCCACTTCGCCCTGAATCGGCTGGTCCTCCAGACCCAGAGCCCAGGCCTGGGAGAGGCAGCCCCGGCAGGAACAAAGATGGCCTCCACCCGCCTTGCCTTGGTGCTGGGGCGTCCTGTGCCCACAGAAGGGGGCTCTCCTCCTCCCCAGTCCTGGCCTCTCCTCGCAGCGCTGGAAACATCCCAGAGAATGACAGCTGAGCAGAGACACGGCCTAACAGGCTTCTGGGTCCCCCGCTCACGGCTGCACGTGCTCTGTCTCTACCCTGTACTGCGCAAGAACTCGTGTCCGGTCAGCCTGGTCTTCTACTAGTAATGGGGGGGGCTCTTTTTACCCCCCACTTCTCTCTGCCATATCCAACAAATGTTGGCAACTTCACCATTAAAAGTCGGGGACAGTCGGGAGTGTTACTAATACACACTCCCTACAGTAAAATACAGATTAGGAAAAAATTACAAGTAATCAGCATTTTCATGTGTGTCCTCACATCCCTTTTTTCTAGAAACATTTACATTATTTTATAGAAACATACCGATTTCTAACCCGTTTTGACTTCACAGTAGGTCATGCCTATCTTTTCATGTCAACGAACATCCATCTACGCCATAGCTTCAACGACGTCACAGGATTGCACGGTAAGGCTGTTTCATGCTTTAACCAAGCCCCAACCCCTGTTGTTCAGCGTTTAGCTAGCTCCCAGTTTTTCACTAAATAAACCACACTCTGTGATCATCTTTGCGCGTGTGTCTGATTAATTCCTGACTGGAGAAACAGAGCCCTGCAGCAAGCCTATGTTCTCTTTTAGGTTTTTGACATTTTATAAAGTCATCTTCCGAACACATTCCCATGGCAGGTAGCAACCCCTGTTTCCAGAGGGCCTGGCAGACGACAACCCCTATTTCTGAAACTCTTGTCTCTGTCCATATATGTCCCCTTTGCACAGGTAACTCCTAAATCGAGGGCCAGTTCCATGCTCTCCCCCAAATACCCCATTTCTAACCACCCACTATACACCTCTACCGACATCCTACAAACACTCCAAACTCAGCACATCCAAAATCAGCTCATCTGCCTGTCATAGCCAAGTCCTCTCCTGACCTCGCACATGGCCGAAGTGGCTGCCCTCCTGGTCCTGGCACTGACATCTGTGGAGAGGTCAGTGGAGACAGGCCACTGAATCCTGGAGGATCTCCCTTGGGCCCCCGCCATCACCTCCCTCCTGGCCATCCTCATTGCCACCACCCCAGCCAGGGCATGGAGCTTCTGCCCCAATCTCTGAACCCCTGCCAGGGACAGGGACAAGGCCAGCTCCCCAGCTCCTGTCGCCCCACCCTGCACAAACAGGGCCCATGGTCTGCTGGTGAAATGCCACCTCTGTAACACGATCCTAACTCAGTTTTCATCTGTGGCCCCGGGTTTTCTCACCAAATCCACTCAGAGGAGACTGACTTCTGAGACTTCCCCTCACACCACCCTCTGCCTCACACTCCCCGCACCTCACTGCCTGCTCCCCGCCACGCCACTCGCACCCCCTCCTCCATCTCCTCCCCTCACTCTCCCCTCCATCTGTCTGCCCACGACCTGAACCGGGCTTTTTCTTCATCTCCAGCCCCTCCTGGCTTAGGGCTTACCTTATCCTGTTGGCCGTCTGCCTCCTGGGAAGCTCGCCTGCGCCCCTCTGCTCACCTGCCCTGTAGCTCGGGCAAGGCAGGGGAGGCGTCCGGCTCTTCCTTGGGTCTCCTCGAGGACCTGTTCCCTTGCACCGACTCTAACCGGAAAGATCTACCAAACAGATGCTGTCCTTGGGTCACTTGTTCTTGGTCCTCCTCCCCTTTATTAGATTCATCCCCTGAACGCCCGGGGCGCAATCAGAACCTGATTAGCTCTGAATGAGAAAGAACAGAAGGGACGTGCTCTGCTGCTGGTGGACCTGCCACAGCTCCCTCCTGCTAAGCAGAATGACCAACGATGGCAGTGGGAGCTCAGGGCAGCAAAGGAATTGTCACTTCTGGATCTCAGAGCTACTCTGTGGCCAGGCCAGCCAGTCTCCTACTGAAACAGGCAGAAATCAGAGCAAGGTTCTCTGCAGAGCTGTGAGGTTGTGACTTACAAGAAGAAGTATATAGGATGGAGCTCCTAAAACCCTTGGAATTTCCCAAGAAAGCCAGAAAGCTGTCTTTTGTTAATGAGCCCTTAGATAACCTGTGGGCGGGGGCTGGTTGCCAGGGGAACCAACCACGTGATTGACGGCTGGACCCCCTCCTTCCACCTCTTAACCTCTAGGGAGGGGAGAGGGCCTGGAGATTTGAGTTCCATCACCAATGGCCAATGATCTGATCAAAACTGTCCCAGTCATGAAGCCTCCAGTAAAATCCAAAAGGAGCTTCTGGTAGGATGGCTACCCTAGTTCCCTGGGGATAGGAGCTCCTGCGTTCAGGACCCTTCGGGACCTCACCCTAACGTTCCTCTTCCATCTGCCGGTTCCTGAGTCATATCCTTTTATAATAAATCTAGTAAGTAAAATGTTTCACTGAGTTCTGTGAGCTGCTCTAGCAAATTAATTGAACCCGAGGAGAAGGCCGTGGGAACTTCTCATCCACAGCAGGTGGGTCAGAAGCCCAGGGGCCAATCTGGATTTGCGACTAGCATCCAAAGTGAGGGACAGTCTTGTGGGACGGAGCCTTTAGCCCGTGGGTTTTGACACTATCTCCAGGTAAACGGTGTTAGGACGGAGTTAACTTGCAGGACACTCAGTCGGTGTCCGCTGAGAACTGAAGAAGTTGGTGGTGCTGAAAAGGAAACGCACTTTGGAGTAGCCAAACGACTGAACAGGGGGCTTGAACGTTCTGCACTGTAAATTCACATCCTGAATTCCCCAGGAAGTCAGACCCCTAGTGCTGTTTGCACCCCACCACAATGGAGCTGAGAGGCCTGCCTGTGTGTGCTGGAAGGACAGGGGGCCTCACAGCTGACTGCAAGCCCCTCCTCTGTACTCAGCCTTCTCTCACTTAACCTCCAGGATACTGCTAGGATAATAAGACTGTTGTCCCAATTTAATGGATGAGGAAATTGGGGCTCAAAGAGGATACATGACATGCCCCAAACTATCACCTGCAAATAGCTCAACGCATTCGTTCATTGAGCACCTGCTGTATGCTGGCGATACTGCAAGATGTTGGAGCTATACAGCTAAGACGTGATCCCTGCCTTCGAGAAGGTTGCAGACAAGTTGCAGAGCAGATGTGGATTTTTTTTTTTAGTAAAGGGTAGTAAGAATTCAAGCTGAAAGTGCAACTCAGGCCTCCAAGGGCACTTGCCACTATCCACACGGAAGACAGTTTCTGCCTGCTTTAATACAGTGAGGTGGCATGCCCCGAGCTGTTGGTTGTCGGGTGAAGGCGTGGCTCTGCGCAGCATGGAGGGTGGAGCTGAAGGCAATCAAGGATCTGAATGCAGCTTACCAGAGAAGTCACTTTGAACCAGAGCACCAAGAAGTCTCTCCCTGTCCCACGCCAGTCCTCCTGTGTCCCTCACCTCTCAGGAAACCAGGCTGCTAAGGCAGTTTAAGCCCATCACTACATCAAGCACTGGTGTCCCCTGTGGGCTCTGCTGGGAGAAAAGGAGGCAGGATGGAAACAGGCAGTTAAGAGAGAAGGGGTGGCAGGAGGGCGAACCAGCAGATCCATGAGATTTTCCCGTCAACTGTTCCCAAGGCAGCTACCCTGCCCCATCTGTGTAAGGCTACTAGGCCTGAGGCGAACCCACGTCCATTTGAAGACCCATCCACCTGCATGACAAGATTCGAATGGGGAGAGACATTCTACACTAAGTATGTCTGTGGGACAAACACGGGGTACATCTGTGTGGGGGTGGTGTGTGACTGTCTCAGCCCATCTGTGTGGGGAACTAGGCATCTGGGTGATGCAGCATCCAGGAGGAAGCCATAGATAAAGAATGACCTTTGGAACTATGAAGGCCCAAGCTGTCTCCTCCACTCCTCCTTGCAGTTTGAAGGTGATTTAAGTCCAACTCTGAGGGATGCAGGAAAACTCACACCAAGCAAGACCATCCTGACTCAGGCAGGCCCGTGCCTTGCCTCCAGGTGACCTCACAATCAATAAGCTCCAAGGGTAAAAAAATCCAGATTCACAAAAAAGACAAAGTAGTGAGTGGTTCTGTGCTTTACAGAACATGAACTGAAAGATTCCTTCAACAACGGCTTATCCGGTTCAACATCAAGGACAACCTATCTTTGTGCAAGGAGGGCCCGCTTCCAACGCTGGAGAGAGAACACATTGCACTGACTCTGGTTGGAATCTGACCCACCCACAAACACATTTTGTTTGTGCAAACCTGGAAATCAGTTGAGAGTCACTCCCTAGTAAGCAGATGCCTTTGAATCATGCTCTTTCGGTTCCCAATCCAGACAGTGACAACGCTCTCTCTGCCTTCCCAGTCGGGCTGGCCCCCCAGAACGCTGGTGGTTCCTGGGCCTCCTTTGTTCCCGGAGCAGAAGTGTGGGTAGCAGCATCAAGGGCCTGGAAGCAGCCATTCTCCACCCCAAAGTTCTCCTCCGCCTAGCAGACCAGAGTCTTAGAAGCAGAGGAGGCTCTTACAGCCCCTTCCACAACCACCCTCCTTCCTGTCAGAGCGCGGGATGGGGGTGACAATTCTGGCAGCTTCTGGAACTTTGGGCTGAGACAGTCACACACCACCCCCACTCTGCCCCCCCCCCCACTTGCAGTCAGACTCCACTTAATGCAATCTAATAGGGACAGGAGCTACCCGCAGGGCTTGAACGTGCTGAGAATCACTCTCCCTCCCCATGTCCACGGTTTCATTAAAAGGCCACCAGGCCTAATCTCATTATGAGGACCAGACACTGCCCCTGTCCTAGAGCCCGGAAGCAGGCAGCCTGGCCTGGCCACGGCCCTCCTTGTCCACAGCGCGGTTTTAAAATTGGGTTAGAGAAGATTATATTGGGGACGGACGTTCGAGCTTTTCTTGATGGGTGAGTGACGGGAGGGACAACTCAATTGCCCTAGAATGTCCTAGAATGTGATGGAAGAAAAGGCAAAATGAAGGTTGAGCTGTCAGGCAGGGCCCCAAGAAGCCCGAGGGAAGAAAGCAAAGCTTGACGTCAACACTGAGCCTGGTTCTCCATTAGGATACAGCGGGCTTGGCGCCAGGGCTCCCAATACTTGTAGGGACCCACAAAAACTCTTATGATTTCTGCTAAAATCAGGAGGAAAAACAAATTCAGTGTTGAAGAAAATGTTTTAATTTTTAATCCAGCCTGGGTTATATTTGCCTTTATACCAACACAGTTGTAAAACATAGGTTTGTTTTGTTTTTTATTGTTATTATTTGTAATGGAAGAAGGGTCCCAGCAAGGCAAAAGTGCCTGGGACCCATGAATGCAGCTCTGGTCAAACAGATGTGATTTTATTTTTTTTTTTAAAGATTTATTTATTTATTTTTTGAGAGAGTGAGAATGAGAGAGAGAGAAAGTACATGAGAAGGGGGAGGGTTAGAGGGAGAAGCAGGCTCCTCGCTGAGCAGGGAGCCCGATGCGGGACTCGATCCTGGGACTCCAGGATCATGACCTGAGCCGAAGGCAGTCGCTTAACCAACTGAGCCACCCAGGCACCCCAAACAGATGTGATTTTAGAGCAAGCCCCACTGTTTATGACTGTGTGCTCCTGGTCAAGCCAGGTCCCCTCTCTGAGTCTGCTTCCTCATCCACAAGATAGGGGATATTGAGTCCCACCTTACTACTCACTGGCCTAGCAAAAATTAAGCAGGATAAATATGTACTGGTGCCTAGCAAAGTGCCTGCCCCATGGTAGGCATTCAGATAACAATCTAATAAGAACTAAATCTGGTCCTAATAGCACCTTGGGAAGAGTCACACATCAGAAGTTGTTGACGTAAGAGGTTTGGGGCCACAAAGAGCCAGAAGGCAGCAGACAGCACTACTCCCTCCCATAAACCCACACTCCTCTTCTGTCCACTCTCGGTCCCCCGCCAGGCAGAAACCCCTGGATCTGGGGCAGATTCCTCCACCAATGACTTCTGGTGCTACTGCACCACTCCATATTGGCAGAAGCCAAGCTCTGCCAGCCAAGGAAAGGTGGCCAGGGCTGGGAAGCTGTGGGGCAGGCAGGGGATGGTCCCACCTCCCAGTCTGGGAGGCTCCTCCTGCACGGCGCAGTGGCCGGGTGGGGGTTTGCAGCACCCTTTCTCTATGTGGGTCTCACCTTGGCATTTACAAGTTCTTTCTGTATTTTCTCTCTCAAATCCAATGTCACAAGACAAATCAAGGTATCTAAGAGAAGGTGGCAAAGCTTTGGCATGTCTTCATTTGCTATGAAAACAAAGGAACAGAATCCAGCTGTCCTGAGATGGAGCTACATTTAATGAGACTTAGAAATTCCTCAAAGACTGCCAAGTAAGGGTGTATGAGAGGAGAGGGGCAACCTCAAGGAGAAAGACTGGGGGTAGGGTCCACAGGGATCCCTTTCTGTGCGGCACCCTGGGGGAAAGAGCAGGCAGAGAGGGGAGATGGCCCTGCCATTACCCAGGCGTCAAAGGCAGCAGCGGACCCCTCCCTAGGCTCAGTTCTGCAACCCCTGTGCCCACAGCTCAGGGCCCACCAGGGCCAAGCCCACGAGCCAGGGTTTCCCAAACGAGGGATTCCTACCCTCACGCCAAGAAGCTGCGGATGTTCCAGAACAAGGAAAGGCTCTCCTGGCCAGATATGTTTCACCAAGAGGCCAGAAAGGCAGGTTGAGGAAGGCCCCGCCACCAGCAAAGCAATTCGGCCAGTCTTGGTTTCAGGTTTCAAAAGAACAGTCGTGGCAAACGTTGGTTGATCCACATCTACCCTACCTTGTTTCTAGAATATGGCAGAATATCAGGCGTGAGCCCCTGGATAAACGTGAGGTCACCTGGCGTTCCAGTCTAACTTCCGCAGGCTGGCACGGAGGCGGACCCAGGGCGCGCGGCCTGCTCTCTCACCTCTGGCCCTGCTCCGTGGGGCTCAGGAGCAGGTGAGGCGAGGGGCAGGTGTGGTGGCAGGTGAGGGGTTGGGGAAAGGCTCGCGGCTGCTCGGGGCGGGGGCGGGGGGCGGCCGCTGCGAGCACACCTGGACCCCACCCCGGCTCCGCGCGGGGGCTCGGCTCGCACCCGCCCGCCCGGGCCGCCTACCTGGCCGGGCGCCGGGCCCGGAGCTCGTCCCCGCCGCGCAGCGCCGCACCGCGCACGGGCCGGCGAGCTCCCCGCGCCGCTCCCCGGCTGCTCAGCCGGTTCCGCCGGCCGCGCCCCGAGCCGAGCTACGGCGTGGCCATGACGACAGGGCGGCGGCCGCGGGTGGGGCGCGAGGCGGGCGGCGCGGCGAGGGTCACGCGGAGGGCAGGGGGCGCCGGAAGTGCCCCCCGCGCGTCCTGTCACTCGGGGCAGGGCGCGGCGCCCACTGGTGCCCGGTTCTCGGGATGGGGACCCGCCGGATCCCGGGCCCAGACCTTGACGCCGCGCGACAGAGGCTGCGGCGCGGGGCGCTGAGGGGCGACAGCCGCGGTCACCGCGACCCCGGCCTTCTGGACCCGAGCTCGGGTAACCTTCGAAATCCGGGCCTCGCGACCCGGGGCGCGTTCAGGGACGCAAGAGGGTCTGCGACCCCGTGGGTGTGGGGGCCTCCTGCCCAGGCCTGACGCGGAGGCCGCGGTCGCTGCTGGGGGGATGGGCTGCGGGGCGGGGACCGGGAGCCGGGACGGGAACGGGGACGGGGACGGGGACGGAGCCCGGGCGCCGAGGGGTGGGGCTGCCCGCCCGGAGAGCAGCCGCCGGGCCTGGGCCTGTGCCTGTGCTCCGCGCTTCCTGAGTCCCTCCACGCCCTCCCCCCTCCTCCTCCCCCTCCTCCTCCCCCGCTTCCCTCCTACCTTCTTACCCCTTCCCCTCGCCCCGCCTCGGGCTCAGGTGGCCACTAGGTGTCAGACACGGCCCGGGCCTGGGGCCACGCTGCAACTCCCGCAGCCCTGGGGGACACATCCCCTCCCTCCTGGCCCCAAGGGAGATGTCACTGGAGGGGAAGGCTGGACTCACCCCTTCCCCGGGACCACCTCCCCAACACACACACAGACACACACAACTAGGTGACTTTTTTGCGCCCCTTTCTCAGGGGGCCTTGTCTGAGACTGACTACCCACCCCCCAGGCAAACCAGCCTAAGGATAAATACCAGTTCTCACCAGCAGGCCCGTGGAGGCCTAGACCTTGCCAGTGGCAGCCTCCCCTGTCCCAACAGCCAAGAGGAGGATGCCAAGGCCAAGGCTGGGGCCAGCCCCTACGGCAGTCCCCTATCCAGGAAATGCTGTGGGTAGATAACAAGTCCAGCTCAGACTTCTTACAAGCTCAGAACAAAAGGTTCTTTCCTGTCAGATGCCTGGCAAGTCTCACCGAGAGCCTGAGGGTAGGAGGGAAATGGGGTTTCCTCCCCTGGAGTTGTAAAAGAGACACCCCTCCCCAGGGTGTCGCTCCCCCTCCCCCTATCTTCCACACCGTGGGCTTCCCATGGGCAGTGGCCAAAGGCTCCTGAAGGACCCTGGCCAAGGGGGGCCTTGGGGATCTAATTCCCCCCTTACAGAGAGACATACTCTCAAGCCCATGGCAAGACGCCCAAGGGTGCCCACTGCCCTGGGCACACCTTCTAAGGGGGCA